CAACTGCAGCTTCAACCAAAGCAGGCTACAGATGAGTTGTCACCTCTGACTATGATGGAATATCCTAAGTGCAACTGCAGCTTCAACCAAAGAAGGCTACAGATGAGTTGTCACCTCTGACTATGATGGAATATCTTAAGTGCAACTGCAGCTTCAACCAAAGAAGGCTACAGATGAGTTGTCACCTCTGACTATGATGGAATATCTTAAGTGCAACTGCAGCTTCAACCAAAGAAGGCTACAGATGAGTTGTCACCTCTGACTATGATGGAATATCCTAAGTGCAACTGCAGCTTCAACCAAAGAAGGCTACAGATGAGTTGTCACCTCTGACTATGATGGAATATCCTAAGTGCAACTGCAGCTTCAACCAAAGAAGGCTACAGATGAGTTGTCACCTCTGACTATGATGGAATATCCTAAGTGCAACTGCAGCTTCAACCAAAGAAGGCTACAGATGAGTTGTCACCTCTGACTATGATGGAATATCCTAAGTGCAACTGCAGCTTCAACCAAAGAAGGCTACAGATGAGTTGTCACCTCTGACTATGATGGAATATCCTAAGTGCAACTGCAGCTTCAACCAAAGAAGGCTACAGATGAGTTGTCACCTCTGACTATGATGGAATATCTTAAGTGCAACTGCAGCTTCAACCAAAGCAGGCTACAGATGAGTTGTCACCTCTGACTATGATGGAATATCTTAAGTGCAACTGCAGCTTCAACCAAAGCAGGCTACAGATGAGTTGTCACCTCTGACTATGATGGAATATCTTAAGTGCAACTGCAGCTTCAACCAAAGCAGGCTACAGATGAGTTGTCACCTCTGACTATGATGGAATATCTTAAGTGCAACTGCAGCTTCAACCAAAGCAGGCTACAGATGAGTTGTCACCTCTGACTATGATGGAATATCTTAAGTGCAACTGCAGCTTCAACCAAAGCAGGCTACAGATGAGTTGTCACCTCTGACTATGATGGAATATCTTAAGTGCAACTGCAGCTTCAACCAAAGCAGGCTACAGATGAGTTGTCACCTCTGACTATGATGGAATATCTTAAGTGCAACTGCAGCTTCAACCAAAGCAGGCTACAGATGAGTTGTCACCTCTGACTATGATGGAATATCTTAAGTGCAACTGCAGCTTCAACCAAAGCAGGCTACAGATGAGTTGTCACCTCTGACTATGATGGAATATCTTAAGTGCAACTGCAGCTTCAACCAAAGCAGGCTACAGATGAGTTGTCACCTCTGACTATGATGGAATATCCTAAGTGCAACTGCAGCTTCAACCAAAGCAGGCTACAGATGAGTTGTCACCTCTGACTATGATGGAATATCTTAAGTGCAACTGCAGCTTCAACCAAAGAAGGCTACAGATGAGTTGTCACCTCTGACTATGATGGAATATCTTAAGTGCAACTGCAGCTTCAACCAAAGCAGGCTACAGATGAGTTGTCACCTCTGACTATGATGGAATATCTTAAGTGCAACTGCAGCTTCAACCAAAGCAGGCTACAGATGAGTTGTCACCTCTGACTATGATGGAATATCTTAAGTGCAACTGCAGCTTCAACCAAAGCAGGCTACAGATGAGTTGTCACCTCTGACTATGATGGAATATCTTAAGTGCAACTGCAGCTTCAACCAAAGCAGGCTACAGATGAGTTGTCACCTCTGACTATGATGGAATATCTTAAGTGCAACTGCAGCTTCAACCAAAGCAGGCTACAGATGAGTTGTCACCTCTGACTATGATGGAATATCTTAAGTGCAACTGCAGCTTCAACCAAAGAAGGCTACAGATGAGTTGTCACCTCTGACTATGATGGAATATCCTAAGTGCAACTGCAGCTTCAACCAAAGAAGGCTACAGATGAGTTGTCACCTCTGACTATGATGGAATATCTTAAGTGCAACTGCAGCTTCAACCAAAGCAGGCTACAGATGAGTTGTCACCTCTGACTATGATGGAATATCCTAAGTGCAACTGCAGCTTCAACCAAAGAAGGCTACAGATGAGTTGTCACCTCTGACTATGATGGAATATCTTAAGTGCAATTGCAGCTTCAACCAAAGCAGGCTACAGATGAGTTGTCACCTCTGACTTCAGATGAAGTAAAAAAGGTAGATATCGCACCTAGAACAAGAAACTGTAACAAATTTTATAACTTTGTGTGAGTCAGAGAAGTGTTGCCACTTTTTTTCTAAAGTCCCTGAAAATCGAGATACAATGCCACAACTACAAGAGTAATATGCGATGCGAAAGTGAAAGTATATTTGTCCCTTTAAATAAATTTCAACAATTTGACGATTCAAAAAAGATGAAGCATATAGGAGGTGTCTGTAGATCACTTAGAAGTCTCCTTGATAGATTGTCCAGTGAGCATGTAAGCATCGATAAAATATACAACATATGTAATGTAAAATATGTTTATTATAAAAAATAACTTAATACTAAAAAGAACTAGTTGGAATAAAAAATAAATTTCCATGGAAATAAAAAATATACTTTTCTAAATGAAAAAAAGTTATATTTTAGTAAATGCAAAATAGAACAAACTACAGCCGGGGGCACAAAGGAGTGTTCTAATTTGTACCCCGGGTAGGAGAGATATGAAGTATCAGCCGGAGAGGACACCTCAGTCTCGGTTAAAAAGAGCAAGGCCGGTTTCGCCGTCTCCGGGTGGTAGTGGATAGCATTAAGATTAGAATGAAGTGTCGTGATGTTGAAAAAATTCACTGATAGCGTGACAGGAATCGCCTTATTCTTATTGCTCCGCTTGCCTCTAACAGTTTTAGTCGCGAGCAGAATTCCTTCCCCTCCTCCTCCAGAATATGCGGAGCAGCCTAAGCATACACGGTCAGGAAGAGTAAAGTAGCTTGGTCGTGTATGCTCAGCGAAGGATTCTCCGTCATCAGGAGGGAGGGTACCCCTTTGGGGTAGTTTTTATTTGATGCTGCTACGATGTTAAGGGGGAGGGGGAATTGGGCCTCCAACCTAAGTTAAACGCAGAGGTAAACCTCTTCTTCACGCAGGTATTATGTGAGGTCGTGGTACCACTTCGGTTCAAGCTGGCCCATCCATGCAACATAAATAGCCGCTGCGCGGCTCTATCACTGTCAAGTCAAGAGGATGGCTGACATTTTGGTTCATTTCAGCTCAGTCTTGTAGCAGCTACCCTTTATTTTTTTATAGGATAGGGTGACAAACGAGCATACAGTCTACTTAATAGTAAGTGGTTGCTGCCCATAGACATCTACATAATATATCCTTGATTACGAATCAAAATGCAGATGCTTTGTCACCCGTTAGGACTAATATGGAATGCCTCGTTTCCGGTAAAGAGGGTCTCCGGTTCTCTACGCTCACCATACGAAACAGCAGCATTATGCTACTATTTTACGCTGGTTTTCTGCGAGACCGTGGTCTTTCCTCGGTCTACAACCATTCTACTAATATTATAACTGCAGCATGGCTCTACCACGTAAAAAATTCATGTCTTAGTAAAATATTCGTTGGTAGCCTAAAATCATAAATATTTTTGATAGTAAAATAGTTTGTAAGAACAATTAAAACAGATACATCAGCGACTTAAAAAATTAAATATTTACCTTGAATTCAATTTGATGTAACATAATTACAACAAATTAAAAAATATGCTGACTACAATATTTTTATAACTTAGTCTAAAATTAATTACCCAAATCTTAGACCATTGGAAATAAGAAATACTGGCAACATTCTCCCGTTACGTAATCTCGAAATATTGACATTCGTGCTTCGAATAACCTTCAAAATTGTGTTGGAATAACAAATTAAAATATAGTTAAATGAGTGTTTACGAGTGAAACGATATTGTTTCAGACTTGTTTTTCACTTTAGTATTGTTTTTGCACCCTTTACACAGGGCGGCATTTTGTAGGCAAATTTACTGCACGACGCCCCGGGAAGTACTGAGCGAAAATGAGCGTAGTTTAATGCATGTGTGTGCGTGAACGCGTGTACTTACATAAAGGAGCGGAGTTTTTTGGCTTAACCAATAACAAAGGCCGCGCTGTATCTACCTTTTTTTACTTCATCTGAGCCTCTGACTAAGATGGAATGTCTTGCAGCCTGTAACTATACTGGCTTTCTGTAACGCACCCGTTCACGCACTGTGACTGCTTGGTGACAAAAAATTAAAAAAAAAACATTGGTATAAAAGTATTATCTATTTAGAAGAAATAGTAGACAGAAAAGAATTGCACCCACCTACCACTACCGCTTGTAGGCGAGAACGTTTTTCACCCACAAGGAGAGCCCAAAGTAACTAGGTAGTGCTTAACACGTTCGCGTGAGCAACGTCTTACGACGTCATGTTGATAGAATTATGAAATGGCGCAACGTCATAGGACGGCCTCTAGATTGTCATATTTATTCCCGCGGAACGTCTTTGGACGTCTATTTTAAAGGCGAATTCCTATGGCGCATCTAAGTGGCGCCGCAACACATTCAATTTTCGTAGCTTATACCGCCGCGTGACTTTAAAAAAAACGTCGTTCTAGTTTTGTACGCACACATGCAAAGGTCGCGCACAGACACGCGCAACGTCTTATGACGCCCTCCCTTGTACCGCTATCCGCACTGCCAGTTGGCCTGCGCGCAGTCAGATGACCTAACGTGTTTGATTTGTGAACGTCGTGCAACTTATCTGGATTGCCTAATATTTTGTCATAAAAGGTTAGTAAATATTATAACTTTCTTTATTAGGCTTATTTAGAATAAGCATTTGCATATTTGTGAGTAACAAACAACGTCATAACTAGCAAGAATATGATATAATTTTGAAAGAAAATTTGCTAACGGTTATTCTGTGCTGTTTACTATTAGCTTATTTTGAACAGTGAGAATATAGTAATAATCTTAAAATATATGGTGTTATGGTTTTAATCATAAAGTAATATATATTTACTTTGCTATTTGCTTTAGTAAAGATGTCATTTTGCATTGTTATAGATGAATAAGGAAGAAGAACGTATTATGAGACTTTTCGAAGAAGCGTCGACGGGAAGCTCGATACCAGATCCATTCAGTGTTAGTGATGATGGTCAGTATGGATCTGATGGAGACTATAATCCTTGTAATGATAAAGTGAGTAGTGACAGCAGCAACAGTTCCGTAAATAGAACTTCAAGAAGAAGTAAGTTATGTAATCGTCCTTCTAATAGATCTCAACCTGTAAAAACAGCTCCATTGCATAATCGTACCTTAAGTTCGAGTTCGAGCTCATCATCGTCTGATGTGGACAAAACCGAATCTTTACAGACTCATTATGATGAGTATCTAGATGTGACACTTACTGAAGATGTTCCACGTAGTCATGATGATTCTATTACTTCATGTGAATCTGTGCAATCGGAATCAATACTCCAGACTAATACTACCCAACCGGTCGAAGAGCAACAGGAGCCTAATTGTAGCTCAAATATAACAATGCAAGACCCAGAACCAGGACCAAGCAATATATCGGAGAGGCATAACAGGCCCATTACACCACCTGCTACTGTAAATTGGGAACACACAACATTAGATATCCCAGAATTCAATTTTGATTCTACATCAACAGGCGTCCAGTTTCATATTGATGAAAATACTTCGATTCTCGATGTATTCGGACAGTTATTTCCATCTCATATTGTTAGTCAACTTATCGAACATACAAATAAATATGGTGAGGCTCTATGCAATAAAAATAGACCAATGACAAGACATAGTCGTAGATACTCGTTCAGGAAAGTTGACGAAGATGAATTTTTTAAATTTCTAGGACTGTGTTTATTACAAGGACAAATATCTGTTCCTAAAAAACGAAAACTGTTTACCTATTCAGACATTCTGTATTATCATCCAATATTTCCGTATGTTATGTCACAAAGAAGATTCGAACAAATACTAAGATGTCTTTACGCTTCAGACTTAAATGCTAAAGGAAGTGCTAAGATCAGTAGTTTTATAGATAACATGTGTCAAATATTTCAAAATTGTTATAAACCTGAAAAAGAGCTTTCATTAGATGAATCTTTACTGTTGTTTAGGGGAAGATTAAAGTTCAGACAGTACATGAAAGGCAAAAAAGCTCGATATGGAATAAAATTTTACGAGTTGACGACTGCAGAAGGATTTGTGGTCAATATAATTATGTATACTGGGAAGACTGATGATCCTTCTGATAAAGGAAAGAAAACTGAAAATCTCGTTCTTCGGCTAATGAGGCCGTATATGTTGAAAGGCCACCATCTTTTCATGGACAATTATTATAATTCAGTACCCTTGTCTGAAAAACTATTAGATTTAAAAACTCATACCAATGGAACTTTAAGAGCAAACAGGAAAGATAATCCTAAAGTAGTTGTCTCTAAAAAACTTAAAAAAGGACATCATGTTTGGGCGCGGAAAAATAAAGTGTACGTGTCCAAATGGGTCGACAAAAGACCTGTATACATGATTACCACCTTAAACCATCCTAAAATAATTAACGATCATAACAGATACGGTGAATCTAAATCTAAACCGCTGGAAGTCTCAATTTATAATAAATATATGTCAGGTATTGACCGTTCCGACCAAATGGTCTCATACTATTCATCTCCCAGTAAGACAGTGAGGTGGTACAAAAAGGTATTTTTTCATATACTAGACCTAGCAGTATGGAACAGCTTTTATATTTATAAAAAATATCGTAAAGGTAATGCTAAGAGTTATGAATTTATAGATTTTCGTGAGGATTTAATATTTAAACTTTTAAAATTAGATCCAGGTCTAAAACCGGACAAATTAATAAAACATCATAGATATGATAATCGACAAAAAGTAAGAACCGAATCCGTACCATCCCCGAATAAGCAAGAAACATCTATTTCGGCTGGTCACTGGCCTGAAAAGATACCTAAAAAAATTTCCTCTAATAAGAGTATATTTTTAAAATGCAAGATGTGTACTAAAAATAAGACACGAAGAGAAAGTAGCTATAGGTGCAAAGGGTGCCCAGACAAGCCAGCTCTATGCCCTTCGTGTTTTGAAGAGTGGCATAATCAAACAGGTACACACCTGTAGCTTACATATTCTATACCTTCCTAATAATTAAATAATGTTTGTTAATTATTAATAAATACATAGGTACATAAACAATTAAGGCTGATTAAAAAGTAATAGAGATTTTGGTCTCGTACAATTATAAAGAATGATAAAGATTTTTGATTGTTGTGATTTTAATTAAGTTTAATTTTGTTTGTAAAGAAACTACCTACCTCTGCTTTTGATTAAACTTATATGCCAAGCCAGTTGTATCATTTTAATTACGAGTACCTAAATTTAAGTTGACGCATATGAACGTTGTGTCGTTTAGTATGGTATATTAGACCTGCGCAGTGGCGGCAACGTGTATAAACGTCGGACGTGAAGAAACGTTGCGCCGCAATCACAGTTCTAAGGCATACGTATTACGGCGGGACGTCTTTAGACGTTGCTTAACTTTGTATGGGTAAAAAGGTGCGCCTCAGTACAAACATTTAGAGATAAGGTTGCTCACGCGAACGTGTTAATATAGTTGATTAATACCAGGCCCTTTGGTTGGTTGAATACTCAAAGACCAGGCCAGAGACAACTTCAAATACACTACTAATACTATACTACAAGATCGTAGGGTAGTTTGGGATTTCTTTTATCAGCTCGTATGTACGATAGATTAAGAGACATTCAGTTAGTATTGAATCTACACTCAAGACCACTGGACCTATTATTTATTCCCCGAATCTCCTAACATTACAAGTCCTATAATAAAGAAGCACCTTTTTACAATTTAACTATTGGATAGTAGTTGAAAGATTATAAATATTATTTACCTGTATATATAAACTGCTACGCTTCACTACCGGGCACATGCCTTATCTCTTATTTCAAAGAACTATGGGGCAATTGATCCACCCCCTCTCCCCCACCCCTCCTACGGCGCGCTCTATTGTATGTTGAAGGAATTTACATCATGTTTTCGAAATATGTTATTACTCTGATATGCAGGTTACCTGCGTACTTTAGTTAACCGCACAGAAATATTTTCGTCAGTACGGGTCGAGTGGGGATCGTACTTGGTTCGCTGAAACCAGTAGTGTCTAACTCCTGAAACATTATTAATCTAAGTATTTACGATGACATCTAAAAAAGCCATCATTTCAGTTTTTGCTTTTACATTTTCATCTATTATCAAATACATTAATATTCACTATTTTCAAATAATTACTTCGACTTACAACGGTTCTCTTCAATAACAATTGCTTCAATACTTGAGTATAAAGGCGGTTTTATCGTGAGCTTATGTAATTCTAGAAGGTCTGCTGCACCCTTAGAATTGGGCTAGCCTTGGGCTATAAATCACACTTGGGCTGCTTCATCCAATGATGTCTCCGCCGCTTAAAATGGTGCATCAAGTCTGAACGGCTCGTAAAGCCACTTTATTTTCCTTTACTCTTGCCAAATGTACATACATACATAATTCCGTACGGAATCAAAGAGATGTTAAGTATAAGAAATTTTACTTTACTATTATTATTTGTAGCAATATAATGAAAAATAATTTATATTATTATATATATATATATATATATATATATATATATATATATATATATATATATATATATATATATATATATATATATATATATTTGGGCATCATAGTTAATGAGAACTAGAGATGTAACGATTCCGATCACCGGTCATCACCGGTCATCACCGGTCTTAAACAACCGATATCAAGAGTTTGAAAAGCGTGCAAAACTTGCGCGCGACATACTTTCTCAGCTCAATTGCCTCAGAGTGTTTGTTTTCAACTGCAGGTCTCTTTCAAAATAACTTGCGTAACAGATTATCTGCCAATAATTTAAACAAACTTTATATTAATAAAGAAATGTTTTATATAAATTTTGACATTTTGTGTTGAAATTGTGTGTGTGAAATGACATTTTAAATTTTATACGTGGTAGAGCCATGCTGCAGTTATATTAGTAGTATAGTTGTAGCCCAAATGGGTCTGCTCGACCGGGGCAGGACCACGCTATCACAGAATACCGGCGTAAAATAGCAGCGTAATGCTGCTGTGTTTCGTATGGTGAGCGTAGAGAACCGGAGACCTTTTCTACTGGAAATGAGGCATTCCATCTAAGTCCTCACGGGTAACAACATATCTGCATTTGATTCGTAATCGAGGATAGATGTAGATGTCTATGGGCCATAACATGCAACCACTTATCATCACGTGGACTGTGTGCTCCTTCTCAAGGTTCAGTCTCTGATAAATATAGCTAACTTTTATGAATAATAAAGAAAATGATTCATTATTTGTTTTTTTTTTCTATCTTCTCCGTCACCGATAAAGGTATCGGTATCGGTATCGCCGATTATTTAGTACAGTAGTCGGAATCGGTATCGTATTGGCAAAATTATGTAACGTTACACACCTAATGAGAACCTTAACTTCAAAAGTCATATATCGGTGACATCAGCCAGGATCCGTAAGCTGACACACACGATAAGACTATTGAAAGATTCTACTGAAGGCAGCATTTTAAAGTCAGTCTACCTTGCACTTAGTCAGTCCATACTAAGCTATTGCATAATGGCGTGAGGTGACATTTCCTCCTCCACGTTGATAGTACTGGAAAGGGCCCAGTGGACAGTTTTGAAGGTAGCTTTGGGTAAACCAAGGCGTTATCATACGTCAGATCTCTTTGGCGAAGTTCAAGTCCTAAATATCCATAGATTGTATCTTCTGAGGGTTTGTACATTTATGCACAAGGAAGCTTCGTAACTTCCACTTTGATACTTTAATAAATAAAAGAGTGTTTAAGATCCCCTCAATCTTTCGCTCATCATTTCAGATTGTTTCTTTTCCCACACATCTACAACAAATTAGTCAACTTATACGGCTCAAAACGATCCCAACTTTACGAGGCTAAAATAAAAATGATGAGCTATTTATTGACTTGGACATGAGAAAACAGAAGAAATATTAGTGATCCATAAATAGATGTTAACGCACACAACACACACACACACACACACACACACACACACACACACAGACACACACACACACACACACACACACACACGCACAAGCATACGTACACGCACACGCACACGCACATGCACACGCACACGCACACGCACACACACACACACACACACACACACACACACACACACACACACACTCACACTCATACATACCCACAAGTACACGCGCGCTCCTTTTAATTAGAATCTGCTTGTTATGATAGTAATTTTTCATACATTTTAAGTCATGTTTGCTTTGCTACGCATAATAGTTTTACGTAATTTCAACAATTAGCCACTGATCTATTTGTGTTGGCGACGCGCCTATAAGAATATTTCAGTTTATTAAGTCAACCGATGACGAATAACGTCTCAAAGACATATTGTCCAATAGCAAGGTTCTGATAAGAAAATGCTTAGTTAAATCTTAAGGAAATATCGAATTAATAATATGAAGGTCTTGGGTTCGACTCCCAGGCCGGACTAGTTTATTTGTTTTCCTAAGTAATATCGCTTAATAAATTCATAAGGAATTTAAGATATAAATTATGTTACCGGATTGTTTCCCCGGTTGAAATCATCTTTCCAATGATGTAAATTCAAAGGAATATTAAAGTGAAGTTAGAGATCGGATTTGTTCCCCGGTCGAGATGATCACTCTGTGCATAAATAGAATTAACGGAAATTAATTGCATAAGTATTGTCTTATATAAGTTTGATATGTTTTGTACGAAAAGAAATGCCTATTTGCCCTGATTGATTTATGAGAACATTCACTTATATTGTTATCTGATAAGAAACATGATAACTGATAAGAATCTGATTAGAAATAGTTTCCTATAGTTTGAAAATTGTGTAGATGCATTTATTCACCTAATATTGTTAAAATTAGTGTATATCAGCCTTTCATTTTTTCTGATAGCCGAGAGCCGTGCAAAAGTTAGTTGTTCAAATAGTTTGAGTTCATAGACGCACGCTGGCCACGCCCTTAGGAGGCCGAATATGTAAAAATTTAAAATGTTTGTAATTTCAGCAATTTATGTAAAAATGACTTATAAAACATTTCAGGTTGATTTTACGTGCTAAAAAAGGTGAATTCTGTGTTATTTTTATGTGAAAATTCCTGTGTATAAGTGAAATAATGATAGTTTTGTATAAGAAATTTAAAAGTGTTTTAAATAGTGAAATAAATAGAGAAAATGTAAATTAAACTATTGTATTAGTTAACTTATGTATAATTTCAAGTGGAAAACATTGTTTTAACTTTCTGTGTTAAATATTTAAGAAATTTCGACTTCGAACTTGTGAGTAAAATAGGCATATTTCATTTAATAAATAAAAGGTTTTTCGTGATATGAAAATGTAATGTATACCGTAGTGTAGATATTGTTTTGTGCTATCTATACACGTAAATTATGTTGATGTATGACTTATGCAAATAAAGTAATTAAGTAAAACGTGAGAGAGTAATAGAACAAATTCATGTAATTGAGTTGCGCAAGCGCGCGAATGGCGCAGCTCACTTTCGCGTATAGCTCTGGGGTAGCTTAGTGAACGGGTTTTATTGCAATTCGTTCGGGAAAATAGTTCGGGAATCCTTCGAGATAGTTCGGGAAAAAAAAGTTCGAGAAAAGTGAAAGACCAGCAGTCAATAAGAAGAAGAAAGAAAAAGTGTAGGGAAGTGATAGGGAAAAGTAATTACTCTCTCACGGAACGGTTTGAAGATAATTGCTGTTTTATTCCCAAGAAATTCATCCCTCAAAATTATACAGTCCACATCGAAGAATTAAGGCGTTGGGACCGGGACGACTTCGGAGGACCCGTAATCCCCGTCTGAACCTACTTGCTGAAAAGGAAGAGGTTATCGCCCTTGTGTGTTACTCCGTTGCGGAGATCACATAAGTTGTTCCCGAACCTAACGTAGGCGTTATAGGAGGCCGGATCGAGAGAAGCCTCGATTCCTCCCTTCTGTTTCTTAGTTGAACGTTTGAATAAGCTGGGTTCCTTTTCCATTGGTCCTTCGCGGCCGGATTGAGAGGACGCCCGAACCTGGGTTCCTTTTCAATTTGTGAAATCTTTTGTTTGACCCCCACAAGATACGCCATGCCTAGTGTGGTCACAGAACTTTTTTATACTTTCGCTAAGTGTTTCTGGGAAATAAACAAATTTATAATCATTATTATTTATTATTAAATCGAATACCTACCATTACTAAAGGCTTATGACAGAGTGGACAGGGATGTGTTATGGCAAACGCTGAACGCACTTAGGTTGAGCGCTGGTTTGATACAGGCATTAAAGTCTCTGTATAGGGACTCGAGTGCTTGTGTTAGAATCAACGGGGTCTACTCGGACTGGTTTGGCATCCATAAAGGTGTCAGACAGGGCTGTGTAGCTTCCCCGTGGCTGTTCAACCTATTTATGGACAGATGTTTGGAAAATTTGAAAGTTGAAGAATGCGGATTAAGAATGAGTTAACAATCAAATGCCTTTTGTACGCCGATGGTCAAGTCATACTTGCGTCGTCGGCGGCCGAGTTGCAAATGATGATTACATTAATTAACAGGTCATTAAAAGAAAGGGGAATGAAAGTGAACGCAAGTAAGACGAAAGTGATGGTTTTTGAAAGAGATGAAAGCGAAACGGTATGTGAAATAAGAATAGAAGGAGAGTTAATTAAGCAAGTAGATGAGTTCGTATATTTAGGATGTGTATTCAGCAGGGTTGGGAGATATGATAAGGATATTGAACGACGAGTGAATGCAGGAAATAAAGTAAATGGAGCTCTACATTCTATTGTGAAAAGTCAGAATGTGTCAAAAAAGGCACGTATGGCAATTCACAGTGCTGTATTAGTCCCTACTTTAACGTATGGTAGTGAAAGTTGAGTGTGGCAGAAGAAGCACGAGAGTAGAATAAATGCAGTAGAAATGCGGTCGCTAAGAAGTATGTTAGGGCTGAATCTGAGTGACAGGATGAGAAACTGTGTGATAAAAGAAGAGTGTGGTTTGCAAGATGATGCGGTGACCAGGATTAAGAAAGGAATGCTTCGGTGGTTTGGTCATGTAGAAAGAATGAATACGGAAAGACTGACAAAGCAAATATATGTTGCAGAAGTGAATGGAAGAGTCGGAAAGGGACGTCCTAGGCGGAAGTTTGTCGACCAAATTGGCGATATACTAAAAATGGGCCAAATTAAGAGCACCCTTAACCGACGAGCATGTATGCGTAGGTATATGGATGTAGGCGAGAAAGGTATGTCAGGATCGTACTAAATGGAAGTCTGTAGTCTCTGCCTACCCCTCTGGGTGACAGGCGTGAGTGTTTATGTATGTACTAAACCCGTTTAAAATTTTAGGCAAATATCTTTTTTCTGTAGACGTTCATAGAAATTTTACATCCTCCATTAGTGAACATTTAGATTTGAGTGTGAAAGAGTTTTCGCCAGGTGTTCTTTATATTTTTTTACTTTTTATACCCATGTACTGGCGGTGTTAAAATATCCATTACCCCATATCATCCCGTTGGTGGCGTAAGAGGCAACAGAGGAAAAGATCAGGATATAAGCTGCAGCGTCGTCCTTATGACGACTTAAAATAAAAAATAAACTGCGGTTGCCACCCCGCTAGCCGAGCGTGGCAACTATGGCATATATCCTCTGTATATAATACAGATCTAAAAATATAGTAAGAATCTAAATACTATTTAGACTAAAAACGATGGAGCGGTATTTACCTTATAAAATGTATGTATTTATGTACTCGTATGTGTAGATTTTATTGTACCATAAAAAAGAGGAAAACCAGATTAAAGAAAGAAAAACTTAGGACATAGGTAAATTAAAGAGATCTTATCGCTAAAGCGCAATCTTTTCCTGACAACGTTAAGATTAAGGAAAAAGTTGAACTATTGGACAGTGATAGGTAGTATATATTTCAATTTTGTTTAAGTTTTTTAATTTTATATTTTTTTAAACTAAAAAAAGTTAGTTAGTTTGTTGTGTTGTAACTATTTAGTTGCTGGAACTTACTTGGCACTTTAAGTCCGTAGTGCCTGCATTAGACGACCGCTCTTCCATAATGAGGTGAATTAATAAAAAATACGATACAAAAATATTAATCTTAGTGTAATCATTTATATTTATAACTAAGTTCCATTACAGCCCATCAAAAGTTCACTGCGAACATAGCCCCCTACCCCAAAGATTTCCTGTTGCGGGGGGATGTGTAGAGGGGTTATACTTTAGGAAGACACTGTTATCTCAATCAATGGTTTATTTTCTTCCGTCGCCTCTCGCCTCTTACGACACCCCCGGCATTTAAGGTGATGTGGATATCCTTACACTGCCACTACACGGTCAATTTTAAATTGTGTACAACTAAAATCTATAATTGAAGTGTGTAAGCTATTTCGTCTATTATAAAAACATATGCATTCGATACTATAGCAGAACAGTTATAATATATGTAAAATTAAGTAAATTTGTCAAATAATTCAAAGAAATCACCCGTTTTGTCAACTGGACAAGTGCCACTTGATAGATAGATATCATAACGGCCGACCCTTAGCCGCTGCGTTTCCTTTACTCTTTCAATATTATTTTCGAAGAACTGTGTGATCAATGACACACGTTTTAGTTCACAATAAGCCTTTTCTGTTTTTATATATTATTTTCAGTGTTGGCTGTGATTTAAACCTTTCAGCCCGTTTATTGTAAATGGTGGGTTATTAGAACCCGTACAGACATCCAAATGTGACTTCATGACGAACCAAGCAAACCGTGTCGTACAATAGCGACATTCCTTAATACATATTTTGACTACTCTTAGGGACCACTAATGTAAAAAATGAAGTTGAAGAACTAAAGCTTCGACTTCTGAAGCCACTAAATTACGTGGAAGAAAATAGTGGTAGTTAAATTATAATATTTAAACAGTTTTGTTTGTTTGTTCGTATTTTATGCGCTACCATACCGTTAATCATGTTGCGCTAAAACTTATTAAACTTACCTATTGCTTGCACTTGCGCGACATACGCATGCAAGTGAAAGCAATGCGCGTCCCGTACCGACAATGTACTATCATTCCTAATTAAACAATATAATACTTCTTTCTTATTTTTTCTACTGCAGCAACGCGCCGGTTACCAGGTAGTATAATATAATATTTACCTTTCTCACCTTCAATGACTGAGTAATTCATTCATGAAGAAATTATAAACGCTTTTACAAAATAAATCAAAAATATACAAGGTCTGTTAATCACCAAGTTATTATTTACAAAACAAAAACTGTATAGAAAGGGGTGATTCCAACATTAATAAATAAGTGGTTGATAATTACCCTTGAGACTGAGGTGAATGTTGCCAAGCTGTGTGTAAAATTACTTTTTAAGTTAATTATAACTTAATTCATTATTAAGTGTTACTTTAGAAAAGTTATGCTGAATTATTTGCTGGGTCTTTCAAGGACAAATCTTTTTCCGGACTATTAATATAAATAAAAATAACTAAATAACTTCATTTTAAACCGACAACCGGTGTTAAAGAAAGGTTCAAGTGCGGCAGTCTCATACCGGCGAGCAGTGTAGAGCGGTTCTACTAGAAGGAGTGATGATCTGGTAAGGTATACGGGAAATCAATGGACGTATAGGTGGCTCAGGACTGTTTCATTTCCTTGTGAATAGGTCTATGGATTTGTGAGGCCATAATCAAGTATGAAGTGTAATTTCCGAGTATAATTTATTATGAATACAAAATTTTCTATTTTGTTTTAATCTGTGTGCTGTTGCCCGTAGACACTTACATCTATTATGGGTGTTTATTTTTGATCACTCACCATACATAACACAGCAGCAATGCTGCTGCAATTTCTTATTGTTTTTGTGAGAACAAAGCATTTTTCCGATCAAGCTGTCTATTTGTTTTGAACTCAGATTAGAACAGCTTATCACGTAAATGTTCTAATCGGCAATTATATAAGTTTTAAAATTGCAATAAACAATTTCATTGGTTTCATTGGATCAAATTTGCTCGCGTACCAACCATCTGAGAAGTTTTATTATAACATACCTACTATACATATTTATATAAAAAGTTTTATGTTTCTGTATCTTACATTAATCTTACATTCTACAAACACTCAATACTCTCAAACTCATAGATATCTACATTTATCCCTAATTAATAAAATACAGTTGTGCTATCCCTGAGGACCTAACAGGGAATGTCTCCTTTCGAGTAAAAAAAGTGTCTCCAATTCTCTACACTCACCATACGAAACAAAGCAGCATTAAGCTGCTATTTTACGCTAATATTCTGTGAGAGCGTAGTCCCGGTCGAGCCAACCCAATCATACTAGAACTATAATATAGCTGCAGTGTGGCTCTACCACGTGTAATTCCATGTTTTTATTCATTTCTATTTTGCTTAATAATATGTATGCTTTTACGTTACGATCTTTAAAGAACGTTTTGGTAATTCATAAAATACTTACATACCTAAACCAAGATTCTTGACAATGTTTGTCGATAATAATATGCGTTACACATCCCAACTCTTGTATAGATCAACAGTGTAACTTAAGGTCGAGAAACTAACGTTGTTTTAGGACTCGCAATGAATGATGTATAAGTTACAACCAATAGTTCAAAGCAGTTATATAAATTTCATTATGTATGCTCGATATCAAAACACTTAAATTATGGATTTATTCCTTAGTGTAAAATTTTTACTTTGTACTGAAATTCACCTCAACATTTGTAAAAAAGAAAAATGAAACAATAAAAAAGGACTGTAGGTTCGTGCATATATACTTATTTATTATTTTAATGTCCCATTTTAAAATCACAAACTCAACACTAAACATTGGATATTATATCATCATTCATCGAGCCTAAATTTTTATAGAAGTCCTAAGAACAAACTAGAATACGTAAGCTTCATACAAGCGCAGTCGGCAGTGTTCACCTAAAGTAGCACACAGATAAAATAACGGTATATTTAGTACCTACTGTTGGTTCGGGCATCGCTTCCGTCTTCCGTACTCATGTTCAATATAGTATAGTATGTGTGAACGAGTAAAGTTACAATATTAAAATATAACTTAATCCTACAATGAGTGCCTCATTGATCTAGTGTTTGTAATAGTGCGACTGCTGATCATGACGTTCCGGGTTCGAATACCGGGTTGGGTCAAATAAATAAGTTATTGAGCTTTTCATTTATTATATTTTCCCATTCTATACATTCCAGTTCCAGATTAAAACTGTTACTCTCAATTTCTCTTAATGGTCTGTAAGTAATTAATTTAGGAGGTCCTCTAATATTTTTAATATTTAACTGGCATGTCAATAGCGCGTGACTGCAAAGATCGGGAATATGATTAATAGATACACATACACAATATATATTCGTATTGGCACATATTAAATCAATTAATGTTTCACTATTTCCTGTGAAATGGGTCGGCTAGTTCACATACTGAATAATTTTCATGTATTTAAAGAAATTTTGTAACTTTTGCGCGTTAGGTTTATGCGTATGTAGCAAGTCAATATTGAAATCTCCAAGTAAGATTGTATGGTCGTAATTAACTATAGATGAAATCGAATCTGTAAGTGCGTCAATAAATTTGTCTACATTAAGCCAAGGGGGTCTGTATGTTGTACCAATGGCTACCTTGATACCATTAACATTGAGCCCTATCCACATCTGCTCAACAGAGTCATTTTTACCTATTAAAATTCTATGAGCAGTGATACCAAGCCCAATATAAAATCCCACGCCACCTCCTCGCATACGGACTTTAGGTGAACGTGGTAGGTGAACTAAGCAATAACCTGGTGGCGATGGTGCACGATCTTCCTCCCTTTGCTTAAACCATGTTTCATTTATGGCTAAAATGTCCATTTCGAATCTCGATATCGCTGCGAGAAACTCGTCATGGCGGGTTCCCAAGGAGCCAGCATTTAAAAACCCAATTGATAGTCTTTTATTTTTTAAATATTTAAAAACAAAAGCATACGAAATTTGGCAGTACTTACAATGATCTAAGAAATTGCACAGAAGTGTTAAGTGACGCCATCCAATGGACCAAATAAAATAAGTAGAATAATTGTTATTTTCATAGAGTATATAAAGTAGTGTATCGAATATGTGATTTGTTAAGTGTATGTAGGTAAGGTCAATATGTATGGGGAGAATACAATGCAACGTGAGAGAATAACAACAATTAAATAAAGATTTACAATAAAAGTGGGTGGAAAAATGATTAGCATTAAAAATGAGATCATATTTAGGACCGAACAATACTATTGCCCAAAAACTTTAATTAAGTTGCTTTCAAAGCGCACTTGATGATGGGGCTCACCGTTTTCTCTTCTAGCAAAAACTTTACCTTGCCGTGTCCAGACATACTTCTAATTATTGCGTTTCGCTTCTGTACGTACTTTATAAAATAGTTGACGTTTATGTCTGGTTAGCCTTTCATTCACATAGAAGGGATAGTCGACGGAATTGAGTCCCAGACCAACTGTAGTGCAGCCTCGACGGACTCGCGCCGCTGCTAGCAGACTATCGCGATGGTGCATCGGATATATGATGATATTAGTTGTATGTATAAAATTACCTCAGGATTGCAAATATAGGTTGGATTTTGATGGAAGGCAGTCTATGCTCTATATTGATTGGTTAGGAACTCTGATTGTTGTTAGTAGATCATCCTTTGGAAATTTTGTTCATAGAAACATCCTGACTCAGGTAGTTTTTGTGATATTATGGGCTAAATGTCTCATTCTGCTCACGCCGCAAAAGGCCTGCACGCTCTGCACTTACTATATCGCGATCTTCTAGCGCTACGCCTAATTTAGTTGCAACTGCCAAAACAATATGTGCAGAACGTTCATTTTTGTCTTCGGGTATTCCCGAGACCTCAATATCATTGCCTAAGAGTTCCAGGTCACGGTCATTAAGCTCAACTTTGAGATCCGTAATTGTTTTATCGAAAATTGATGTCATTGGACGTCTTTGTCTGCGAATTTTTCTCCACCACCTCCATTCGTGCCCCAGGCAGTCAAGCCGCTGATTGCACTTGTTGAGCGCATTTATTGCGGTAAGCAGGTTTGGTCATCGTTTCCCTAAACTCTTGCATATCATTACGCATTTCTTTGATGTCTTGGCGCAATAGTTTTAGCTCATTTGCTAGATCACTAGTTGGCAAATCAGGTGTTAATGATACGGATGTTGAGATGGCCGTAGATTTCAGCTTTTCATTCGTGCGACTACGCAGTCACATTTGTACATCCGATGTCTTGGTTACTATTTGGTGACAATTGCAGGTTGTGTTTTATTGATGTGTTGGTATTGTCAGTCTTAGGTTCATTGCTTCTACATTCCTGAGATTTCCAGTTTTTCTTATTATCTGCTGACATAATGTAAAACCGCTTTTCTGACACGTTTGTGCAAGGAAGATCACAATATTTACAACAAACATGACATTTTAAATATTGCTTGTCGGTTATTTCTTGCGAACAACCATTGCATTGAATTTTACTTGGTACTAGTGGCGCCACATCCCTTCCTCCACGAATGCAACTCAAATGAAAACGGTGACTTTATCGACTTGTGATCTGATCGGTTTAGTAACAAATGTCTATGGATGATTCTAGATGGCGTTGTTTCAAACAAATAAATTTGAAACGGAAACAGAAACTTTTTTATTCAATGTATATTATAAACAATACTTATTGAAAGTCAATTTTTTAATTTACCACTGGTACGCAAAAAAAAACCTCTGTCCTGGGAAGAACCAACCTGAAACCCAGCGGGACAATTTTTTTTTTTCAAATAATAGCTTACAATCATGTTTACAATTAACAACACAAGACAAATTAGAAATAGCTTGGTAGCGATTACCCTTCC